TCCACTCATCCATCCATCCATCGACTCATCCATCCATCCATCCATCCACTCATCCATCCATCCACTCATCCATCCATCCATCCACTCATCCATCCATCCACTCATCCACTCATCCATCGACTCATCCATCCATCCATCCATCCACTCATCCATCCATCCACTCATCCATCCATCCATCATTTTCTCCTTCCATTTAAAAGTTGATTTAGATTTTTTAACTGCATGATTATGGTCAGCATATGGTTTTTATAGAATTGTGACCTAAAACTGTTTCTGAATGTAAATTGCTAACAAGACTACAAATCGTGCTGACCACAAGAATGAAGTTGAGTTTACGTGCTTGATCAATCGCACAACCGATGTGCCAGCTTCACTCGGCGGGCTGGCAAAAGGTCCGCGCCGTAATGAAGTGACCAATTAGCTTTCGCTGTTGGACAAAACAAAGGTCAAAATAAACGAGGAGAGAGTTGTGGAAAAGAACCACCTCATCTATTCCTCTCTGAGCCGCGTCGGAAGACTCCAGAGGGTTCAGGAACTGGCCAATTACTGGCGCTCTGTAATCTTTACACTGGCTGTGTGAGAAACACACACACACTTGTTCAATTCAGACGGGACTGAAAAACACAAGGTACAGCTGTGAAACAATTCACCCTGACCTCCTCGGGGACCACGAGTCCTGTCCAAACACCACCAATAAACCCAGTTAACTCATAAAACTTCTGTTTTGTAATAATGCAATAATGGACTAACAATGAAAATATTCAACTTGGTTCATTTCTGCATGCGCTATCATTCAAAGATGCATTAAACTGATCAAATCCATCCAACCATCCATCCATCATCCACTCATCCATCCATCATCCATCCATCCACTCATCCATTCATCCATCATCCATCCATCCATCATCCATCCATCCACTCATCCATCCACTCATCCATCTACTCATCCATCCATCCATCCATCATCCACTCATCCATCCATCCATTCATCCATCCATCCACTCATCCATCCATCATCCACTCATCCATCCATCATCCATCCATCCACTCATCCATTCATCCATCATCCATCCATCCATCCATCCATCATCCATCCATCCACTCATCCACTCATCCATCCATCATCCATCCATCCATCCACTCATCCATTCATCCATCATCCATCCATCCATCCATCATCCATCCATCCACTCATCCATCCATCCATCCACTCATCCATCCAACCATCCACTCATCCATCCATCCATCCACTTATCCATCCAACCATCCACTCATCCACTCATCCATCCACTCATCCATCCAACCATCCACTCATCCACTCATCCATCCACTCATCCACTCATCCATCCACTCATCCACTCATCCATCCATCCATCCACTCATCCACTCATCCATCCACTCATCCACTCATCCATCCATCCATCCATCCATCATCCACTCATCCATCCATCCATCCACTCATCCATCCATCCATCCACTCATCCATCCATCCATCCACTCATCCATCCATCATCCACTCATCCACTCATCCATCCACTCATCCACTCATCCATCCATCCATCCATCATCCACTCATCCATCCATCCATCCATCCACTCATCCATCCAACCATCCACTCATCCACTCATCCATCCATCCATCCACTCATCCATCCATCCATCCACTCATCCATCCAACCATCCACTCATCCATCCATCCATCCACTCATCCATCCAACCATCCACTCATCCATCCATCCATCCACTCATCCATCCATCCATCCATCATCCACTCATCCATCCATCCATCCACTCATCCATCCAACCATCCACTCATCCATCCATCCACTCATCCATCCATCCATCCATCATCCACTCATCCATCCATCCATCCACTCATCCATCCAACCATCCACTCATCCATCCATCCATCCACTCATCCATCCATTCATCCACTCATCCAACCATCCACTCATCCACTCATCCATCCATCCACTCATCCATCCATCCATCCACTCATCCATCCATCCATCCACTCATCCACTCATCCATCCATCCATCCACTCATCCATCCAACCATCCACTCATCCATCCATCCATCATCCACTCATCCATCCATCCATCCACTCATTCATCCATCCATCCATCCATTCATCCACTCATCCATCCAACCATCCACTCATCCACTCATCCATCCATCCATCCATCCATCCACTCATCCATCCATCCATCCATCCATCCATCCACTCATCTATCCATCCATCCACTCATCCATCCAACCATCCACTCATCCATCCATCCATCCACTCATCCATCCATCCATCCACTCATCAACTCATCCATCCACTCATCCACTCATCCATCCATCCATCCATCATCCACTCATCCATCCATCCATCCACTCATCCATCCAACCATCCACTCATCCACTCATCCATCCATCCATCCACTCATCCATCCAACCATCCACTCATCCACTCATCCATCCATCCATCCACTCATCCATCCAACCATCCACTCATCCATCCATCCATCCACTTATCCATCCATCCATCCATCATCCACTCATCCATCCATCCATCCACTCATCCATCCAACCATCCACTCATCCATCCATCCATCCATCCATCATCCACTCATCCATCCATCCATCCACTCATCCATCCAACCATCCACTCATCCATCCATCCATCCACTCATCCATCCATTCATCCACTCATCCATCCAACCATCCACTCATCCACTCATCCATCCATCCATCCACTCATCCATCCATCCATCCACTCATCCATCCATCCATCCATCCACTCATCCATCCAACCATCCACTCATCCATCCATCCATCCATCCACTCATCCATCCATCCATCCATCCACTCATCCATCCATCCATCCATCCACTCATCCATCCATCCATCCATCCATCCACTCATCCATCCACTCATCCATCCATCCACTCATCCATCCATCCATCCATCCACTCATCCATCCACTCATCCATCCATCCACTCATCCATCCATCCATCCACTCATCCATCCATCCATCCATCATCCACTCATCCATCCATCCATCCACTCATCCATCCAACCATCCACTCATCCACTCATCCATCCACTCATCCATCCATCCACTCATCCATCCATCCATCCACTCATCCATCCATCCATCCATCATCCACTCATCCATCCATCCATCCACTCATCCATCCAACCATCCACTCATCCACTCATCCATCCACTCATCCACTCATCCACTCATCCATCCACTCATCCACTCATCCATCCATCCACTCATCCACTCATCCATCCATCATCCACTCATCCATCCATCCACTCATCCATCCATCCATCCATCATCCACTCATCCATCCATCCATCCACTCATCCATCCAACCATCCACTCATCCACTCATCCATCCACTCATCCACTCATCCACTCATCCATCCATCCACTATAATGTTACAAATATCACAGGAATAAATTACACTTTATTATATATACAGTTGAAACTCGAAAAATTTGAATATCGTGCAAAAGTTCATTTCTATATAAATTTCATATTATATAGACTCATTACATGCAAAGTGAGATATTTCAAGCCTTTATTTGTTATAATTTTGATGATTATGGATTACAGATATAAAAACCTTTTCACAATATTTAAAAATTTGAGTTTCACCAACTGTATATATAATTTTTTTTTTTTTTAAAAACACCCGAAAAAAAAAAAAAAACGCTCAAAAACTGTGAATTTTGTGATCTATTCCACCACTAGGCGTGTGTACCACAGCACTGAGGCTTATGGGTAATTAACGATGGGGTTTGTCACAACATGCATTGATAAACAACACTAAAGACTCGTTCTTGTGTCAGAAAGTGTTTTCCACTGCGATGACTCACGAGTATCTGGAGCTCTGGGAGATCTGTGATGAAAGGGCCGTTAGAGGACGACACACACACTGATGTGTCCTTGCCTCCGACTCCCAACAACACACTCGCTCTCTTCTCGTCCCTCATCCGCTCCGGCTGTCTTCATTGACGTTTGGATGTTACATTTGCGCTGTGAAAAAGTGACAAAAAAACAAAACCTCAAGAAAGTTCTCTGAGAGGGTCCGAACACGCGCCGTTAATATTTAACCGAGATAAGACGCACACTGCCGATCGTCTGAGATGAAGTTAGAATATGGTGCACAAGTTCAGTAATTCAACTTAAAAGCTGAAACTAATATATTATATAGACTCATTACATGCAAAGTGAGATATTTCAAGCTTTTATTTGTTATTTTGATGATTATGGATTACAGATATAAAAAACCCCAGTCAAAATTAGAATATTCATCTTGATTGATTCACTTCTGTCACAACGATTATTAGCTCTTATACCATGGTTTGGGTGAATACTCGATTCTGATTGGCATTAAAAAGTGATAGAGGACACCTAGACTGCATCCAAAATATACTATATTTAAATAAGAACGTACTTTGAGACCGTTAAAGGAGTAGTTCACTTTAAAAAAAACTTTTGCTGATAATTTACTCACCCCCATGTCATCCAAGATGTCCATGTCTTTCTTTCTTCAGTCGAAAAGAAATATTGGAAATCCAGGATTTTCTCCATATAATGGACTTCAATGGGGTCCAAACGGTTCAAGGTCCAAATGAGAGTTTCAGTGCAGCTTCAAAGGGCTTTAAACGACACCAGACGATGAATAAGGGTATTGGCTAGTGAAACGATCGCTCATTTAATAAATAAATAAAAAAGTTTAAGTTTTATAAGCACAAATGCTCTGTGATGCGCGTTCGTGACTCTCCTGTTCATCAAAATGAATGAATCATTTTCCGAGTCATTTGGTTCATTCAACGAACGAAATGAGCAAAATGACTCGAATGAATTTGTTCATTGAGTAAGGCGAGTATTTGTGAACGTGTGAGAACGCTGATGCGCATTTAGATCTCCTTTGTTTGATATACTGTATGTGCGCAGGTGTGTATCCCCTAGTACCCACGGCCTGTGTTTCTCAGGTGCTGGTCCTGCTGGTGCTGGCGATGCCGGAGGCGCTGAGCAGGGATGCGGCGGTGGACGTCCCGCTGGCCTCGTCTCTGCTGTCGCTGCCCTTCTGTCTGCTGTGTGTGCTGGGATCCGCTCTTCACGTGCTGGTGTGCACCTCGGCCGGCAGCTCCTGTTACCTCTGCTCTCTGCCCTGGCTCCTGGTGTTCAGTGTCGTCCTCCTCTCCTCCGCACTCATGTGTGCTCTCGGGGCCATGGCCGTCAGGAGGAGTCCCACCGGCTGCAGGAGCCCTGCTCAGGTGAGTGGAGGACGGGAGCGATCCTGCCGCACCAACACCACCGTCTGCCATTCTACATCAGGACGAACTGGGTGATAGAAAGTCAGAGTTGCTTGATATAAACTCACAGTTCTGACTATTTCTCTCAATTCCAACTTTATATCACACAATTCTGACTTTATAACTCACAGTTCTGACTTTATAACTCAATTCTGACTTTATAACACACAATTCTGACTTTATATCTCACAATTCTTACTATATAACTCACAATTCTGACTTTATAACACACAATTCTGACTTTATAACTCACAGTTCTGACTTTATAACTCAATTCTGACTTTATAACACACAATTCTGACTTTATAACTCAATTCTGACTTTATAACACAATTCTGACTTTATATCTCGCAATTCTGACTTTATAACTCAATTCTGTATTTATAACTAAATTCTGACTTTATAACACAATTCTGACTTTATAACACACAATTCTGACTTTATAACTCAATTCTGACTTTATAACACACAATTCTGACTTTATAACACACAATTCTGACTTTATAACTCAATTCTGACTTTATAACACAATTCTGACTTTATATCTCGCAATTCTGACTTTATAACTCAATTCTGTATTTATAACTCAATTCTGACTTTATAACACAATTCTGACTTTATAACTCACAATTCTGACTTTATAACTCAATTCTGACTTTATAACACAATTCTGACTTTATAACTCAATTCTGACTTTATAACACACAATTCTGACTTTATAACACAATTCTGACTTTATATCTCGCAATTCTGACTTTATAACTCACAGTTCTGACTTTATAACTCAATTCTGACTTTATAACACACAATTCTGACTTTATAACTCAATTCTGACTTTATAACACACAATTCTGACTTTATAACTCACAGTTCTGACTTTATAACTCAATTCTGACTTTATAACACACAATTCTGACTTTATAACTCAATTCTGACTTTATAACACACAATTCTGACTTTATAACTCAATTCTGACTTTATAACACAATTCTGACTTTATATCTCGCAATTCTGACTTTATAACTCAATTCTGTATTTATAACTCAATTCTGACTTTATAACTCACAATTCTGACTTTATAACACACAATTCTGACTTTATAACACACAATTCTGACTTTATAACACAATTCTGACTTTATAACACAATTCTGACTTTATAACACACAATTCTGACTTTATAACTCAATTCTGACTTTATAACACAATTCTGACTTTATATCTCGCAATTCTGACTTTATAACTCAATTCTGTATTTATAACTCAATTCTGACTTTATAACACAATTCTGACTTTATAACACACAATTCTGACTTTATAACACACAATTCTGACTTTATAACACAATTCTGACTTTATAACACAATTCTGACTTTATAACTCACAATTCTGACTTTATAACTCAATTCTGACTTTATAACACAATTCTGACTTTATATCTCGCAATTCTGACTTTATAACTCAATTCTGACTTTATAACTCAATTCTGACTTTATAACACAATTCTGACTTTATATCTCGCAATTCTGACTTTATAACACAATTCTGACTTTATAACACACAATTCTGACTTTATAACACAATTCTGACTTTATATCTCGCAATTCTGACTTTATAACTCACAGTTCTGACTTTATAACTCAATTCTGACTTTATAACTCAATTCTGACTTTATAACACAATTCTGACTTTATAACACACAATTCTGACTTTATAACTCAATTCTGACTTTATAACTCAATTCTGACTTTATAACACAATTCTGACTTTATATCTCGCAATTCTGACTTTATAACACAATTCTGACTTTATAACACACAATTCTGACTTTATAACACAATTCTGACTTTATATCTCGCAATTCTGACTTTATAACTCACAGTTCTGACTTTATAACTCAATTCTGACTTTATAACTCAATTCTGACTTTATAACTCAATTCTGACTTTATAACACACAATTCTGACTTTATAACACAATTCTGACTTTATAACACAATTCTGACTTTATAACTCACAATTCTGACTTTATAACTCAATTCTGACTTTATAACACAATTCTGACTTTATATCTCGCAATTCTGACTTTATAACTCAATTCTGACTTTATAACTCAATTCTGACTTTATAACACAATTCTGACTTTATATCTCGCAATTCTGACTTTATAACACAATTCTGACTTTATAACACACAATTCTGACTTTATAACACAATTCTGACTTTATATCTCGCAATTCTGACTTTATAACTCACAGTTCTGACTTTATAACTCAATTCTGACTTTATAACTCAATTCTGACTTTATAACACACAATTCTGACTTTATAACTCAATTCTGACTTTATAACTCAATTCTGACTTTATAACACAATTCTGACTTTATAACACACAATTCTGACTTTATAACTCAATTCTGACTTTATAACTCAATTCTGACTTTAAAACACAATTCTGACTTTATAACTCAATTCTGACTTTATAACTCACAGTTCTGACTTTATAACTCACAATTCTGACTTTATAACACAATTCTGACTTTATAACACACAATTCTGACTTTATAACACAATTCTGACTTTATAACACGCAATTCTGACTTTATAACACAATTCTGACTTTAATCGTGATTAATCGCACCTTACATTAACGTTTTTTGAATGTATTTTATATTGTAATAATGTCACATCTCCAAATGAATGTCGAATCAATATAAATGTGTTGGGAATATACAGAAATTGAATAGTTATCAAACACTGCACGTTTTATAAATTAAATATAGTTAAATTTGGATTAAAGCTACTAAAACGACTCGGTGATCTTCTCTTGTTCTTTGATTAGCATTAATGACAGCGGGTTTACGAGGCCGTTTATTTGCCTAGAAGTCTTCGTTTGTGTCTCGCTGATTTATTAGGCCGCTTGTGTTTTCCTGAAGAAGGGCGAGTAAACGATGAGAGTATTTTAATTTTTTGAGTGATCTATCCCTTTAATAAAAACTCCACTTAATAATGCATATCTGAGTGTAGGCTCTCAAACAGCAGAGCCGGAGATTTGCTCCCGGAGTTAATGAGATAAGAAGAGGACACCCCTGTTAATTACCCCTCTCTCTCTCTCTCTCTCTCTCTCTCTCTCTCAGAGAAAGTGCTGACAGTCAGAGGTGATCATTAGAGAGAGAGCAGAAGTTTTGCAGCGTCAGTCCCTGCTGTCTCCTGTCAGTCATGTGACGCGTCACTCTTGCTCATGTTTAACGAGCCGGTTGTGTGCTCCGGGAATATTCTAGGCTCTAAATTAAACGCTTTATGATTTTTAGCTGCATTTATGTTGAATAAAGACAAACCCGAGGCGCCGTTTGATGGGAAACCGGATTTTTCCGGCTCGTTTGATGTTTGTGTGTGCTAGGCATGGGCTCACAGTATGACCGCGATGATCGTTCAGGAAACACAGTTATGATTTATTGATCGGGGCGATGGCAGATTGAGGTTAGGACATGCGTTTCCTGGGATCAAACACAATAGAATCGGAGCCGCACGTTTAATTAATGCGACTCGTTTGGAAGTGTCACTGTGTCGTGGTGCCGGTTGGGATGCGGGAGCTCGTTTGATTGGCTGGACAGAGGCTGCACTGGATCTTTGGCAGTGCCGTGTTTTATAATAATATCTGTGTGCTTTTGAAGGGGGAGAGGAAGCCGGAAAAGTATAGTCATATTAAAATGTTATTAAACAAATTAAACATTGAAATTATCCATCCATCCATCATCCATCCATCCATCATCCCTCTATCCATCCATCATCCATCTATCCACCCATCCATAATCCCTCTATCCATCCCTCTATCCATCCATCTATCTATCCATCATCCATCTATCCATCCATCCATCATCCCTCTATCCATCCCTCTATCCATCCATCTATCTATCCATCATCCCTCTATCCATCCATCTATCTATCCATCTATCCATCATCCCTCTATCCATCCATCTATCTATCCATCTATCCATCATCCCTCTATCCATCATCCATCTATCTATCCATCATCCATCTATTCATCCATCCATCATCCCTCTATCCATCCCTCTATCCATCCATCTATCTATCCATCATCCCTCTATCCATCATCCCTCTATCCATCCATCTATCTATCCATCTATCCATCATCCCTCTATCCATCATCCATCTATCTATCCATCATCCATCTATCCATCCATCCATCATCCCTCTATCCATCCCTCTATCCATCCATCTATCTATCCATCATCCCTCTATCCATCCATCTATCTATCCATCTATCCATCATCCCTCTATCCATCCATCTATCTATCCATCTATCCATCATCCCTCTATCCATCCATCTATCTATCCATCATCCCTCTATCCATCCATCATCCCTCTATCCATCCCTCTATCCATCCATCTATCTATCCATCATCCCTCTATCCATCCATCTATCTATCCATCTATCCATCATCCCTCTATCCATCCATCTATCTATCCATCATCCCTCTATCCATCATCCCTCTATCCATCCATCTATCTATCCATCTATCCATCATCCCTCTATCCATCATCCATCTATCTATCCATCATCCATCTATCCATCCATCCATCATCCCTCTATCCATCCCTCTATCCATCCATCTATCTATCCATCATCCCTCTATCCATCCATCTATCTATCCATCTATCCATCATCCCTCTATCCATCCATCTATCTATCCATCATCCCTCTATCCATCCATCCATCATCCCTCTATCCATCCATCTATCTATCCATCCATCTATCTATCCATCATCCATCTATCCATCCATCCATCATCCCTCTATCCATCCATCTATCTATCCATCCATCTGTCTATCCATCATACCTCTATCCATCCATCTATCTATCCATCATCCATCATCCCTCTATCCATCCATCTATCTATCCATCTATCCATCATCCCTCTATCCATCCATCTATCTATCCA